CTGCCCTCTGGGACACAAAGCAGGAACCCCAGCCCAAGGGCGCTGTGGGACAGGGTATGTGGGTAGGGGGTCTCACGTGGAGACCTGGGGCAGGGTGACAGTGGTTGGAGATGGAGAGAGGAAACGTAGTCAGAAATATCATGCCCCTGGAGAAGCAGCACTGGATGCAGAAGGACCCAGGCATGGGCGGGGGCCCAAGGCGGAAGGGTTGCCTGGCCTTGAGGGGTGTGCGGCGTGGGGAAGGGGGGCCCAGTCTGGAGTTGGGAGCTGGTGTCCTTGACCTTGGGGGTGAGCCCTCCACTCCGTGTTCCCACTGACCACCTGATGCTGGGTGCTGGGGACTCGGAACTCCTGCAGCTGTCACGAGGGTGGGGGTTGTACAGGTGCCTGTCGCTCCTCCCCCTCCCGGGCTGTTAATCCGATGGTTCCGGCTATGCCCTCTGAAAGACTGGCAGGCTGGTCCTGGAGGGGCGGGGGTTTGGGGTGGGTGGGGATGGGCAGAATCAGATGCCCAGGGAGCTCTGGGAGGCTGGATGCGGGGCAAGAACAAGGGGTGGGGCCAGGGACCGGGTCCCAGGCCGTCTCTAGTGTGGTGGGCGATGTGTGGTGTGTGGTGGGCAGTGTGCGTGCAGTGGCAGCATGGGTGCATAGGCTGATGCAGCCACACTCCAGCGGCAAGTGGGCTGAGGGCTTGACAGCTCTGATCCCCGGGATCACCGTGCTAGGGGCGCTCTGCGAGCAGAGGCTAACTTTGATTTGTCTTTGTGACCCCGGAGTCCGTTTATCCCAGTGCGCAGTACCCGAGCCTCCAGGGAGTCGCGTGCGGGTGTCTCCAGGGAGCCTCTCCCCTTCTGAGATGGGATCTTGCACACGGTAGAGCCCTCTTTTGGCCCAAAGCCTTGAGTGGAGGCTGGGGGTTGATTTGAAGGAACGAAGGGGCGGCTGGGCCTTGGCTCTGATCCCTGCCGCTGCAAACTGGTAGTCCTGGCCGGAGGTCGGTTAGCTGCACTGAGAGGGAGACCAGAGAGATTAAGGTACTCATGCTGGTCACACAGTATGAGTTGGGGTTCAGACCCAGCCACCCAACCAGGTCTGCCCTGTGTCCCTCTGCTGTGGCCTCCACCCTCCGCGGTGTCTCCCTGGCCTGCCGCTTACTAACTGAGTCAGCTTCTGGGGTCTCTGTGGGGACTGCCCTTTTCGGTCTCTCCATGAAACTCGCCCAACCTCATGTTTGGCACTCTTGCCTTTCAGGCCTCATCCTCAACTCACTGCCCCTTCTCTCTTTCCCCGTGTATCCTCTTACGGCCTCTAAGACTGGGCCTGGCGGGTGGGTGGCAGAAATCCTGATCTTGGGGCCACTGCCACCCCTGTCCCAGCTGCCCATAGAAAGGCCTCTGCCCTAATGGAGCCACTGAGTGTGAGTCCTCCCCCCACCCCGAGCCTTCTCTGCCCCCTAGGGTGGGGGTGGGGGTGGGGGTGGGGATGGGATGGCCAGTCCTTCCCATGTTTGCGGCGGGAGGATCCAGCTGGCTATTTGATTCTGGGGTGCCTAGAGCTGTGAGAAGAGAACCCTTCTTGGGCATTGTGTATGTCCCACCCACCACCACCATTCCCTAGCGTGCCCCAGCACACGCATGGTCCTGGCTGTTGGGGATGGGATGTAGCTTGCAGGTGTGAGAGCTATGGGGCAGGGGCCTGAGCCTGGGGTGAGTGGACTCACTGACTTCCAGAACCATCCAGAGCCCTTAAATGTACAGGTGTCTGGGGGCGGGCCTTTGGTGCATTGGTTAAGGCACCAGTTAGGACTGGTTAAGGCACCTGATCCCCTGTACTAGCGTGCTTGGATTAGGATCCCAGCCTCATTCCAGACCCCAGCTTCCTGCTCATGTGCACCCTGGGAGGTAGCAGGTGGTGCTCAAGTACCCGAGTCCCTGCCACCTATATGGGGTTCCTGGTCCATCCTCAGCCATTGCAGGCATTTGGGGGAGTAAACCAAGAAGATAGGGCCTTTCCCTGTCTCTCTGCTTCTCAAATAAATGAATAAAATAACAAGTACATATTATTTCCTGTGCCCCAGGTCTGGGATCAGAACCTCATGGGGCAAGTCCCAGAGTCCACGCTGAAACAGCCCAAGGCTTCCTGACAGCTTTCAGCCCACGGGTGTGGCAGAGGCTGGGACCTCCACGGAGCCTGTCTAGCCTCAGTGGGAAGTAACTTGACTCTTGCAGAAGCAGCGGGGGGAGAGGGGGGAGCCACCACCTAGGCCGCCAGCTTAGGGTGAGCTCTTTTCTATCTCCAAGGCTCTTCCTTCATTACATGACCCTCTCCCTGTTTGTGGGAAGAGCACTGGACCAGGAGTGCAGAGAGCAGACTTCCAGCCCCAGCTCTGCAGGGGGATGTGTGATCCCCTCCCCCATATTTACCACCCAGCCTGGCTCATCAAATTCCGCGTTGGTTGGGAGCTTGTCTCTCCCCTCCCAGACCCCTACCCCCTGTCTCTTCACTCCCGCCCCACCAGGGCCAGCCTGGCGGATGTGCAGTGTGTAGATGGGAGTGGGCGAGGTGCTGGGAGGGGCGGCCTCGGGGAAGTGAAGGGATCCCAGGAGGCCTGGTCTCCTGCTCCTCTTTTCCCACCTTTCCAGCCCTGGGCCTGGGAAGGGGCGAGGCGGCAGCAGGGAGGAGGAGGTGTCACCACCAGGGTTCTTCTCACCCAAGCTGGCAGAAGGGCGGGACTGGCAGTGGTGACACCAGGGCTGCTCAGCCTCCGCTTTTCACAAGCACTTTCTTTTTTGGGTGGAAGAAATTGGAGGGCGGGCGGGGAGGAATCGGGGTTGATGAGCCCGAAGACCTCCAAGTACTCCTGAGGTTATGGAGATCACCCACAGCCCCTCCCCCTTCCTCCAAACACAGGTGCCCCGGGCTGCCAACTCTGAGATTATAATCCTTCCCGCCCTGGAGTGCTGGGTGGGAGCTGGGGGGCCTGTTTGGATGTGGGGCACGGATTGGTCTGAGTGGGGACGGACCCCTTGACAGAGGATTGCGTGGGAAGGAACAAGTCTCCATTTGGCCCCCAGAGCCAAGAACTTAGCAGAAAAATCTCCCTGGCAGAGGTTTCCGTATCCTACAGCCTCACAGCTCCTGGGGAAATCAGTCATTCCGCCGTCTTCCCGAAGCCTCTCAGGTTCCCCCAAAAGTAGCCAAGGTCTCCAGGGCGTGCTCTCTCTCCAGCAGCGCTGCCCCACTTGGAAGAGCAGGCAGAGGCTTCCGCCTTCCTGAGGCACAGGGAGATGGCGGATGAAGGGTTGAAGAGGAGGTCAGACCGATGCCCTGCCTCCATCCTCCAGGGGAGGTGCACTAATTCCCTCCCCCTCCTCCCCGGGTCATGCCCGCCTCCTGGGGTCCCCAACTTCGCCTTCACCTGCCAGCCTGCCTCTTGGTTCAGCTCTAGTTGGGAGCAGAGAGTCCCTGTGGGCCCCTAAGGGTGAAGCCCTGTTGGGTCAGGGCAGAAACGAAAGGAGGAACGTGGAGATGGGGCCAGCCCCAGGGGAGACTAGGGAGGGCAGGAGTGGGGGTGTGGGGGGGCGATAGAGGAGAGGTGAGCTAACCTGATGAAACTGTGAGAAGTATTTTCCAAAACACTCTAAAATGTAAATGGTTATTGACATGCAAAAAATTCGGCACCACTTTGTTGAATGAAAAAAAAAAAACCACACATGACAAAGCAGCACGTGTGGTGTTTATATAGAATTATGCATTGGTGTGTGTGCAAAAGACAGCCAGTGTGCAAGGAGTGACATCTGTGTGTTTGCGGTATGTTAATTCTGTTTGCCTTTGAGGGTGGGATTTGGGGCAATTTATATAGTCTTGTTTTTAGTTTTCTTTACTGCTCGATTTTCTCTATGTTTCATCTTTATACACAGGAAGACTCTCCGTGAGGCTACCTTCAATCGCTGGGGGGAGGGGGGAAGAGTTTTCATCATAAACGCATAGCTACATTAGTTAACAGAAAAGAGACAGAAAGCAAAGCCCCCGTGGTCCCATCAGCCTGGGGGTGCCCTTTGGAGTACCGGGGTGGGGGTGGGGTGGGCTCTGAACCTCAGCGTTTCCACGCAGGTGTAACCATGGCTTGGAAGCCTATGTGCAGTGCAGTCTGAGGCTCGCAGCTCGCTGGCAAAGTCCATCTGTTTCTTTGCCCCAGTGTCCTGATGAGGAATGCCATGCTGCCTTCAGGCAAGGGAAGTGACTCTCCCAGGTCACATATAACTGAGTGACAGCGCCAGTCCCGGGACCTGAGCACCCGCAGCCCAACGCGGCTTCCAGGACGGGGCTGCCCGGCCAGGAGTGCGCGGCCGCCCACGCTGCTGCGGAGGCGCTTCTCTTTAAGGAACTCCTCCTGTGGCTCACCAGTTTCCAAGTGGGTCCCGGGCTGGGGTTCCGGCTGGGGTCCGGACGCAGCCCGCGTGGGCCGCTGGCCCGGAGAAAGAGGGCAAACGCTTCATTCATGCAAAGTGCAAAGCCACCCAGCACTGAGCCCGGACACTGGGCGCCAGCCAGAATCTGCTGGCTGCCGCGGTCGCAGCTGCTCTGAGCCGGCCAGTGCGGGCGAAGAGGCCCCGCGAGTCCCACCTGGGCCATCGTCGCAGGCTTCCCGCAGGAGGGGGTCTTTGATCTGAGCCTTCGGGGACAGATGAAATTTCCCGCCCGTCCCCCCCCCCCGCGCCAGGGTCCCGGGAAGAGAACCGGGCCGGCGATTTAGGCAGCGCGGTTGCCTCCCCAGGGGGCAGGTTCTTGAAGCAGGAACCGCAGGGCGCGCGAGGACCCGCTGGTCCCCTCCTTGGGGGGCCCGCCGGTCCTCCGCCCGCAGCGCGGACTCCGCCGAGAATTAGCCACGAGGGGCGGGGCGAGGCGGGGCGGGGCCGGGGTGGCGGGCGGGGGGGACCCGAGAGCTTCATAAAGCCACAGCCAAGGCGCCGCGCGGCTAGTGACAGCGGCCCGCCGAGAGGGAGCCCGGCAGCAGCTGTGCGCCTGCCACTCGCGGGCGCACGAGGCGGGCGCCCGAGCCCGGACTGCGCTGGGGCCCCCACCCCGCCCCAGGGCCCGCCCCAGCCCGTGCGACCCTCTCGCCTGCCCCCGCGCGTCAGGGCCGCCCCCTCGACGGCTGCGGGAAGGTGCCCAGCCCGCCCCGGATGGGCATCGTGGAGCCGGGCTGCGGAGAGATGCTGACGGGCACCGAGCCGATGCCGGCGAGCGACGAGGGCCGGGCGCCTGGCGCCGACCCGCAGCACCGCTACTTCTATCCGGAGCCCGGCGCGCAGGACCCCGCCGACCGGCGCGGGGGCGGCAGCCTCGGGGCGTCCTACGCAGGGGGCGCCCTGGTGCCGGCCCCGCCAGGCCGCTTCCTCGGAGCCTACGCCTACCCGCCCCGGCCCCAGGCGGCCGGCTTTCCTGGGACGGCCGAGCCCTATCCTCCGCCGGCGGGCGCCGAGGGCTACCAGCCCGGGGATGGCTACGCAGCCCCGGACCCGCGCGCCAGTCTCTACCCGGGGCCGCGCGAGGACTATGCGCTGCCCGCTGGGCTGGAGGTGTCGGGAAAGCTGAGAGTGGCGCTCAACAACCACCTGTTGTGGTCCAAGTTCAATCAGCACCAGACGGAGATGATCATCACCAAGCAGGGGCGGTGAGTTGGGCGCCGCGTGGGACAAGGCCTTTTCCGGTTGGACGGCGCTGGTGCCTCCGGGACACCAGCTTTGGGGCAGAATGGGGTAGCGGCGAGCACAGGGAAGGTTCTGCAGGGCTGTGTATGCCCAGAGAACTCAACAGGGAGATGGACGAGGGTGAGCGCCGGAAGTTCCCTGAATGAGGGTGGGCGCTTAAGTTGCTCTGCTCAGGGTCGGGAGCACAGATCCGCCGTGTGCACAGGTGGCAGTGAGCTGTCGGGAGTGCATGGGCTGGGTCCAACAGAGTGAGGGGCCTCTTGGTTCCTGGTGTGGGAAACTGGAAGGGAGGGCAGGATTTTGCTGAATGGGGGACAAGCCCCGGCCCCTGCCTCCCCCCAGTCCCTCTGCGTCTGTTGTGCTGTGTCAGCTTTGATGGCGGTGGGGGTGGCGGGAGACTGGGATTCGGTGACATAGAGAGGCTGTGGCCAAGTTTCCTTTCCGGTCTCCCTTTGAGATCGAATGTCTGGGGTGCGTGTGTTGCGGGGAGGGGGGCACAGATCCCTTCCAGGCACAAATGCCCGGGAGGGCCCGAGCAGGTGAGGCTCACTCACCCAAGGGTTGGAGGAGCTGGACTGCAGCACCCTTTGAGATCTGTGCCTTGAAGAGCTGCTCTCATCAGTGCACCCTGGGGGGAGTCGTGGGGAGAGCCCCACGGTGAGGGTTTGGGGCTTAGGGTGCTGCTTCCGGATACAGCCTCCTGCATGAGCAAAGAAAGAGAAACTTGCGCGGCGTGTGGTATTTGTTTGGTGAGCAACACCCTGTGTGTGCCTGCCTGAGTCTGGCCTGTGACAACGGGGACCCATCCTGCCCCGTGGAGGCCTCTGGGTAAAGGGGCTGTGTCGCTGGCCGACCCAGCATGGTCCATCCGCGGTCAGGAGGTGTGGAGGAGCAGGTGTCACAAGTGAGGCTCGGGGGGTGGGGGTGAGGGCTGCGTGTGCTAGGCCCCAGGGGCTAGTGCTGGATCGGGCCCGGCTGGGGCCTTCGTCTCTCTGTGGTGGCACAGTCTGGGGTTGAGGGACTGAGGGTTGCCAAGCTTCTCTGCTTGCCCTGGGATGAGCCCAGGAAGCTGGCAGGGGCACTTGTGGGCCAGCCTTCTTTGCTAAGGCTTCGGGTAATTCCTCTCCACTCCCCCTCTGGGTGCTCCCCAGGCACAGCCCAGGCTTCTGGTCCCAATGCATCTGACTGGAAGGGACTATGAAATGGGCCCAGAGACAGCAAGAGAGTCTTCTGAGGTCACCCAGCACACCCACTGCTGGAAGAGCTGGCCCCAGAGCCCAGGGGGTCTCTTCCTGGGTCCCCCACGGCCACGAGCAAGGACAGCCCCCCACGCTGTCCAGAGGCCCTGATGCATTCGGCTGCTTTCACTTCCAGTATCTGAGCGTTAGGCAGGCAGGCGCTGGTGGAGGGCAGTGAGGTGCAGGGTGGCAGAGCCTCCTAGCCCTGCCCTCTGTTGAACGGTTGGGAAGCTGCCCGGCCCTGCGGCCTGGCTGGGGTCTTGTCCCCACAGCCTTCTGCAAGGGCTCCGCCCGTGTCCGGTCTTAAGGGATGGGGTAGATGGAGCGTCAGCCAGGACTTCCGGGGTTCTGGCCTGCGCAGGGCTGCCTGCCCGTGGGCTGTTTAGGGGAGTCGGGCAGGGGTGTGATTCTCAGCGTGCATCCTCACTCCTGGCCCTGCGGCCCCCTTTTTTCCCGCTTGCTCCTAATGAGTGCTCCCCACTGGACAAGTTTTGTTGTCTTCCTTTTGGGTCCAGGCACTTGTATTTTTCGTTATGAAAAATTCCACTGTATACACAAGTAGACAGAAAAATCCCCCCTCCCCCCCCGCCGTGGCCCCGCTTCAGCAGGTGTCAGTACTGCTCCCGTCTCGTTTCTCCTTTGCCCTCACTCACTTCCACCCCTCCCGCCTAGGGCCATATTAGTAATACGTAAATAATTAGTGAGTAAGTCCTAGAATCGATCTCATCCCTAAATAGTTCTCCATGCATCTCTCAAAATGGCCTTGAAACAAATAAACACAACACCGTTGGCAAACCAGGACAGAAATTCCTTTCACCAAGTTTTCCTGATTCTGTTGTAAGTGTGTGTGTGTGTGTGTGTGTGTGTGTTTCAATTTACACTTTTTGAGTCATCCTAAGGGGCCACTTTGGGCAGCACAGAACCCCTGTTGGTTGATGCCTCCTCTTGGATCTGGCCAGGGAGGTTTCATGGCAGGACGGGGGGACAGAGAGCCCACCACCCCTAAGCCAGTCCTACCAGTGCCCAGTGGCCCCCGTGCCTTCTCAGCTTGGGCTATGCCTATCTGGGAAGCCGGTAGCCATTTTCTCTCGCTATGGGCTCAGAGAACCCTTTCCTCTCTGTCCCCCTGCTTCGGCGGCTGGTCTGTCCCTTGGTGGGCTCCACTGACCCACCAGTCACCACCGTATCACCCCCAGCCTTCTTCCTTTATGAAATCTTCCACCCCAGGCCCACCCACAGCTGGGCAGCCCTCTGCCCTGGGTTGACTCACTCAAGTCCTTCCTCTCCCACCCACCCAAGACCCACCTCCCCACCCTGGCGTGGACCAGACACAGTCACACTCTCCCCCAAGTGTGTGGGACCGGGGTGGGGAGTCGGGGAGGGGGATGGTGCTTCCGGCTCCAGAGACTGATCAAGGTGGCTCAGAGGAGGCTGGGCGAGGCAGAACAAAATGAGGGCCTGGCCCAGGGAGCTCTTGATGGTTACGGTGGTGTGTCCGTGGACTTTGGGCAGCCGCTAGTGACACACACGGACGTGTGCTGCTGTCTCGGCGCCGCGGGCCCTGTGTGAGTTGGGAATGGACTGCTGAGGACAGAGCGGTGGATGAAGACCCAGGAGAGGAAGAGCGAGGCCGGGGCGCTGTGGCTTGCGTGGGCGTGCATTAATTGCTGGTAATCCCCACTTTTCTGAGTGTGATTAGTTGATTATTGTAATTAAGATAACTTGGGGAGCTCTGCTGTTGAGAAGCTCGGCTTGCGTTCGTGTGCGTGCGTGTGAGGTCGGGCGCGGGCCCAGCGGTCTCAGTCCATGCGGTGCTCGCCAGCCTGGTGGCCTTCGTGGTTTTCTTTCTACACCTTCCCAACCCAGCCCCCAGAGCCTTTGAGATCTTGGGGTGGGGGAGAGAGAGAGAGAGAGAGAGAGCGAGCTTCCATCTGCTGGTTCACTCTCCAAATGGCCACAATGACCAAGGCTGGGTTAGGCGGAAGCCAGGAGCCAGGAGCTTCTTCCGGGTCTCTGATGTGGGTGCAGGGGCCCAAGCTCTAGGGCCATCCTCTGCTGCTTTCCCAGGTGCATCAGCAGGGAGCTGGACTGGAAGTGGAGCAGCTGGGACTTGCATTGGTGCCCCTATGGGATGCTGGTTGCAGCTGGCAGCTTAACCTGCCTTGCCACAATGCTCAAAAATGTTTTCTTCCTCTTACGCCTGCCCTTTCTGTGGCTTCGAGCCAGTGGCCCTCTGACTTCCAGTGAGTGTGTCCAAGGCTGGGAGCAGGAGGTCCCCTGACATCTGGGCATATTTTGCATTCAGCAGGTACAGAATGCCCTCCCAAAAGGTGGCATCAGGGGTGAGTATTTGGCGTAGAGGTCAAGATGTGAGTTTGGGACACCTGCATCCCCCATCAGAGTGCTTGGTTACAGTCCCAGCTCCTCTGCTTCTGATCCAGCTCCCTGCGAATGTGCACCCTGGGAGGCAGCAGAGGATGGCTCAAGGACTTGGGCCCCTGCCACCCAAATGGGGAGACCCAAATGGAGTTCCTGGCTCCTGTCTTTGGCCTTGCCCAGCCCTGGCTGTTCTAGGCATTTAGGGAATGAACCAGCAGATAGATAGATAAATAGATAGATAGATAGATAGATCTCTCTCTCTCTCCCTGCCTTTCAAATAAAATGAAAATGAATAAAATACATAAATAAATAAAAAGTGGGACCCGTTTACAGCTCCATCTTACTCTATGAGACAGGCCTGTTCGTCACACCCTGGTCAGCAGGAGGTAAGGTCAATGTTTAAATACTCTGCCAGCATGATGGACAGAATCCCCTTGTTATTGTAGCTTGCACTAAGTGGCAGTGAGGCAGCGCAGGTGCCAGGTGCCAGGCTCTGGGACGGGTCCGGTGACCCTGAGAAGCATCGGAGACTATCCTCTTGGGGGCAGAGGAGGAGTCTGGGCTCTTGGACCCACAGTAGGCAGTTTTTTGGGGGGAGGGGCTGTGGGACACTGGCCCCATCTCCACGCCCGGTGCTCCCGGCATGCTGGCATGTAAATCAGAGCTATTTTGGGATGCTGGCTGGTGGCGATTCTAGACTTTTAGGGTGAAACTGAGACCTTCCTTCTCTCCCTTTTCCCCATCCTCTTCCTGTGTCTCCCCTGTTTCCCATTACTCGACATGAAAGATGGGTGGACAGCTGAGACTATGACCCTGCTCTGCCCTCAGAAGACGCCGGCTCTGCCTCCCACAGAGGGGCCATCCCCAAAGCTCTCTGAGCCTCAGTTTCTTCAAGTATAAAGTCAGAAATAACATTAACTATTTAAAAAATTTATTTGAGATGGGGCCAGCACTGTGGCAGAGTGGGTAAAGCCGCTGCCTGTGGCACCAGTGTCCCATACAACCACTCATTTATGTACCAGCTGCTCCACTTCCTGTCCAGCTCCCTGCTAATGGCCTGGGCAAGCAGTGAAGACAGGCCCAAGTGCTTGGGCCCCTGCACCCACATGGCAGATGTGGGTGAAGCAGCTGGTTCCTGGCTTTGGTTTGGCCCAGCCCTGGCCATTGTGACCATCTAGGGAGTGAACCAGCAGATGAAAGCATTCTCCCCACCCCTGTTTGTATCTCTCCCTCTCTAAGTAACTCTTTCAAATAAATAAATCTTTAAAAAAATCTATTTGAGGGGGAGAGAGAGAGAGAGAGAGCACTCTTGTCTACTGGTTCACTTCCCAAATGCCTGCAAAGGCCAGGGCTGGGCCAGGGCCAGGGAGCCAAGAGCTGGGAACTCAATCCGGGTCCCCCATGTGGGTGGCAGGAACACAAACACTTGAGCAGTTACTGCTGCTCCGGGGTCTGCACTGGCAGGAGGCTGGAGCCAGGAGCCGGAGCCGGGACTTGTACCCAGGCACTCAGGCTGTGGGACGCCGGTGTCTAAGTCACACCCACTCCCTGTTTCAGAGGCCTGTTGTGATGAATCAGCTGGCACATAAGCAGAAGCTCCGTGAGTTCTGGTTACAATACAGCAAAGGTTCGAGTGAGCTGACCATTGTCAGAGGCCGGGGTTGAAAATGCTCTCACCTCGGCTGGCCACGGCCTAGTCCCTGACCTTTGATTTCTCAGGTCCTCTGACCACGGGGCTCCCAGGGAGCCGGGGCCTGACCTCCGACTGCTGCCTAGAGTCCTCCAGCCAGGGCAGGGCCAGGGCAGCCCTGGGCCCGGGGCTGGGGACGCAGCAGAGGGAGAAGGAGCCCAGGTGCACGGCCTTGGCGCTGGCACCGAGTCGGCCGCCTGCAGGTATCGCCATGCACGGCGGAGGAAACCCAGGTTTGGCTTGGGAGTTAACTTCTCCAGGGTCCCAGTGTCTTTTTCTCAACCCAGGAGAGTCTGGGAAGACAGGATGTGACAGCAGCTCCTGGGGGGGCTGCCTGGGCCCAGCTGTGCTAAGGCTTAGGCCTCCGTCTTCCTTCTAGCCCTGCTGGGCTTCTCACGGGAGGAGGGGGGATGAAGTCATCCCGGTGAGGGTTGGAGTCGGTCCTTCTGCCAACTCCGCTCTCCCTGCCGGGGACGGAAGAGAAAAGTTTGGCTGTTGGAGCTGCTGCCGGTCCCGGTGCTGGAGGAGGGGGCAGTGGTTGCGGCGCGGGGCTGCCAGTGGCGGTGGGGAGGGTGGAAGTAGTGGTGGGGGTGATGGTGGTGGCTGCAATGGTGATGGTGGAGATGGTGGTTAGGGTGATGGTGGCTGTGACGGAATGACAGTGACCATGGAGGCGGCGACGGTGGAAGTACTGGAGGTGGGTGCGGCCGGAGAAGGCTTCTCGTTCACAATTTGCTGTGCAGGCACCATGCCTGGGGGAGGGCAGTGCGGCAGCCCGCTTCCCCCGTCACCCTCAGTTTCCTCCGCTATTCTGGGAACAGGACGGGGAGCATGGGGACGGGCCTTGGTGTGCCTTCTTTCGGGTGGGCGGGGCCTGAGCTGCTAGCTACTTCTCAGAAGGCCTGGGCTTGGGACAGGCGGTCCTCCAGACGCCAGGCCCACGGGGATGGGGCAGGAAGGGCCAGTGGGCGAGGGCATGCCCTGGGACGAGGCGGGTGCTAGTACTGTGGGAGCCACAGTGGAAACCAACCCTGGGCAGAGTTGGCCGTGGCAGAATGTCCGCAGCCGACCCTCTGAAAGCAAAAGCTCTCAGCAAGCCCCGGGGAGTGGTGCTGGCCAATTGCCGTGGTGTAAACATCACATGGCTGACTCAGGCTCCGGTGTGGTGTCACTGATGAGACCGTGTCCCTCTGCCTGCTCTCCTCACCACTCGGGTCCAGTAGGCATACACAGCCCGGGAGCACCACCATAGCAAGTGTAGTGCAATAGTGATGGTTTTGAATTTTATTACCTTTTCGTTTGTAATAGAATGTATCCCACTGTAAGTTCACAGAATTCAGTTTATGATTATGACAGCGCTCAGCTCCCGGCTGGCAAACTTCCTGCACGCTCTCCCGGCGGGGGCGACTGGCTGCCGAGCCCGCACCCATGCACACGGGGCTGGCACCCATGCACACCGGGCCTCCCTGTTCTCCCCAGGAGGATGTTCCCGTTCCTGTCGTTCACCGTGGCGGGGCTGGAGCCCACCAGCCACTACAGGATGTTCGTGGACGTGGTCTTGGTGGACCAGCACCACTGGCGGTACCAGAGCGGCAAGTGGGTGCAGTGTGGAAAAGCCGAAGGCAGCGTGTCAGGTACGCTCCCGGGCGCGGGGTGGTGCGCGCGCCTGTTCTCCAGGACCGAGCGCCCCCTGGTGGATCCCCAAGCCCCTGCCGCGGATGCTGAGGACTAACACCCCCACCCCCTTCCTGTTCCACTCCCTCCCAGGCCCCCTTTGGCTTCCACCTCGTCTGTCCTTCTTTCTCCTAGGCTGCAGCCTGCCCACTGCTCACCTCTCTGCCCACGCCTGCCCCTGCGCTGCCTGTGCCTCCCCCCGCACCCTCACCTGTCCTGCCCCACCCCAACTGCCACTCCCTGCGCCTCCTGCAAGTCACCAGGGGGTCTGCCCCGGGGACTGCAAGCCAAAGAGGTTAACCATCCGCAGGAAACCGCCTGTACGTCCATCCAGATTCACCCAACACCGGAGCCCACTGGATGCGCCAGGAAGTTTCATTTGGGAAACTGAAGCTCACGAACAATAAAGGGGCCTCCAACAACGTGACCCAGGTAGGACCTGCTTCCTGGGGGCAGCCCCGCCCTCCAGAGCCTGGGACCCTCTTCTCTGGGCCTCCCTGCTATACCTCTCTGAGCTCGGGCTCTTTCCCACTCACTGTGGAGGAAGATGAGGCAGGAGAAAGGCCCATCTCAGACGGGGGTCAGGTTCAGGTCAAGGCTGCCCGGGAGCTTCATCACCAAACCCCAGGCTGCCTGCCACTGCTCAGGGCCCCCGCCTGCCAGGGAGTGGGTGTGGAGCTCCTCTGGGTTGAGCAGCTGGGAGGTGCATTTGTCCCTAACAGGCCCTATTGGTGCTGGTGGCTTGGTCACAAGGGACATCTGGGGATAGGAGAGAGGACACGAGGCTTAGAGTTGGTGCTGGGCCTGGACTCGGAAGGCCTGGGAGAAGTGAGGTGGTGGCAGGGGCACGGATGAGTGACCTCAGGGCCCTCCCCCTTGGGGCCGTGACTGGCCACAGGGCCGCCGTGGGCAGCGGGAGAGCCTCACCCTCCCTCTTGCTGTCTGTGCAGATGATCGTGCTGCAGTCCCTCCATAAGTACCAGCCCCGGCTGCACATCGTGGAGGTGACGGACGGAGAGCCGGAGGCAGCGTGCCACGCCGCCAACACGCACGTCTTCACCTTCCAAGAGACGCAGTTCATCGCCGTGACCGCCTACCAGAACGCCGAGGTGAGGCCGGCCTGGCCAGTGGGGCCTGGGCCGGGCGGAGGGGCAGAGTGGGGCCTGTGGGCTTCCTGGTGGGAGGAGGGGGGGTAGGAGGTTCTGCAAGACACCCCCCCCCCCCGGGCCTCAGCCCCAGGTGCCTCCATTTCCCCTTTCTCTAGATCACGCAGCTGAAGATTGACAACAACCCCTTTGCCAAAGGCTTCCGGGAGAACTTTGAGTCGTAAGTGTCCCTGGATCCAGCCCACCCGAGCGGGGACTCCAGGGCCGCGCTCAGCCTCTGTCTGCTCCACCCCCTTCCTGAGGGGGGAGGTGCTAGAGGGTGGGCAGGCCAGGCAGGGAGGGTCAGGGTAGTGGGTCGGGCTGTGCCGGCTGTTCTCTCACTCTCTGGTTTGTTTGTTTGTTTAGCATGTATGCATCTGTGGACACCAGCGTCCCCTCCCCGCCTGCACCCAACTGTCAGGTGCCTGGTGGAGACCCCTACTCGCCTCTCCTCCCCAGCCAGTACCCCGTTCCCGGCCGTTTCTACCCCGAGCTTCCTGGCCAGGCCAAGGAGGTGGTTCCGCAGCCTTACTGGCTGGGGCCCCCCCGGGACCACAGCTACGACGCCGAGTTTCGAGCGGTCAGCATGAAGCCCGCATTCCTGCCCTCCGCCCCTGGGCCCACCGTGCCCTACTACCGCGGCCAGGAGGTCCTGGCGCCTGCAGCCGGCTGGCCGGTGGCCCCCCAGTACCCACCCAAGATGGGCACAGCCAGCTGGTTCCGCCCCATGCGGACTCTGCCCATGGAACCTGGCCCCAGAGCCTCGGAGGACCAGGTCTCCGCCTCGCTCTGGACTGACATCACGCCCCTCCGGCCGGAGTCCAGTGACTCAGGGCTGGGCGAAGGGGACTCTAAGAGGAGACGCGTGTCCCCCTATCCTTCCAGTGGCGACAGCTCCTCCCCCGCCGGGGCCCCGTCCCCTTTTGATAAGGAGGTCGCGGAGGGCCAGTTTTATAACTATTTCCCCAACTGAGCCGGCGTGGACCTGGCGCGAGGCACAGAAGCGGTGCTGGTAGGCTGGAGGACACCACGGAACTTGGACAAGAGACTCCGGCTGCAGGAGCCCCCGGCTGCCTCTGTCCCTTGTCTGGGAAAGAGGGGCGCCAGGAAGGGTCTGGGGCTCGCTGGCTGCCTCCTGGCCCACAGTCACCATGTGAGGCTCAGCCCTGCCCGCTCACTCTGCCCCAGCTCGGGTCGTGTACCTGGTGCTGCTTCTGGCTGTCGGCTCCCGGCCAGCGAACAGGAGACAGACGAGGAGGAGGTCTTGGACACCTCGGGGCTTCTTCGCTTCTGGGGGGGGCGTGGACCAGGCTGGGAGGCCGGGAACGGGAGCCTGCTTTCTTCCTCTATAAAGAGGCCTCCGATGGGGTTGTTTGCGTGTGTGTTAATCCCCGATCTGAAAATAAATGGACGCGGATTTTATAACAGTCGGCCAGCCAGGGTCAGGGAGAGGACTCCGGTGACTTTGAGCAGCTGGCCTGGGCCCCACCTGCTCGGACACAGTGGGGTGCGGAAGAAGGGGCCGCAGTGCACAGCCCGGGACGCGCGGGCTGGTTTGGGGCGGCTGCGTGCGTGCCCACTCTTGCCTTCCCTTTCTCTTTATTTTTATTTTTTGAACGGGGTGGCTATTTATTGTGCAGAGAGTGGTGTCTGGATGTCTTTGTCTCCATCACTTTCTGAAAATAAACTTGAAACTGTGGAGCGTGTTCTGCTTCCATGCCAGTGTGGGGCCCCTGGGGCGGGCACGGCTGCTGTGCCTGGGACGGTCTGGTCAGGCCTCTCCTTTGCTGCCCCCCCCCACCGGAAACCTGAAGTGACTTCCGTCAGGAGTCAGCCGAGTTAGAGCAAGGCCGTGGGTCCTGTCCTTAGCCCTCAGGCAGGCGGTTGCTGCTCCCTCTGGAAGCATCTGGGCCTGTGGGGGGAGGGCAGGGGAGGGCAGGACCGGGCACCAGGCTGGGTGGAGCGAGGGGCCCACGGGAGGCACTTGGTTTCTCGCCGTTTCTAGCAGCTCTCTGCATTCACCCCCAGGCTTGCTCAAGGATGGAAGGAGTAAATATAAACTGAACCATGTGCAATCTTTATTTTTATTATTATTATTTATTTATTTGACAGACAGTGAGAGAGAGACAGAGAGAAAGGTCTTCCTTCCATTGGTTCACTCCCCAAGTGGCCGCAATGGCCAGCGCTGCAGCGATCCGAAGCCAGGAGCCAGGTGCTTCCTCCTGGTCTCTCATGTGGGTGCAGGGGCCCAAGCACTTGGGCCATCTTCTACTGCTATCCCAGGCCATAGCAGAGAGCTGGACTGGAAGAGGAGCAACTGGGACTAGAACCTGCACCCATATGGGATGCAGGCGGAGGATTAAACTAGTGTGCCATGTCACTGGCCCCCAAAATGTTTATTTTTGTAGATCAGGAAGAACCAGGGGCTGGAAAAGAGGGTTAAAGCCTCTGAGCACCAGTTCAAATCCCGCTGCTCCGCTTCCAGTCCACCTCCTTCCTAACGAGCCTGGGAAGGCAGTGGCTGATGGCCCCAGGACTTGGGTCCCTGCACCCACGTGGGAGACCTGCATGGAGCTCCCGGCTCCTGACCTTGGCCTGGCCCAGGCTGGACTGTTGCAACCATTTGGGGAGTGAACCAGCAGGTGGAAGACCTCTCTCTGTCGCTCTGCCTTTCAAATAAATAAATAAATCTTTTAAGAAAACAATTAGTTCACCGTTTCATGCGATCCAGCCTTGTGCACGGAGAGGATTTAAGAATAGGGCCTCACAAACAGCAAGCGCTGAGCACTACTGTTGTTGCTTTTTTCTGGTTCTCTTCCAATCTCTGTCTCTTTCTGCATACACCAAATTGTGTTTGAAAAATGATACCCTCTCTTTCTGCCTCTCCTCTCTCTCTCTGTACCTCTGACTTTCAAATAAATAAATAAATCTTAAAAAAAAAAAAAGGAAAAATGATACCTGCTTCTTTTTAAGAATTCAAGCAATGAGGCTGGCGTTGTGGTATAGTGAGCTAAGTAAGCTTCCGCCTGCAGCGCCAGCATCCCATGTGGGCGCCAGTTCTAGTCCCGGCTGCTTCTCTTCTGATCCCGCTCCCTGTTAATGTGCCTGGGAAAGCAGTGGAAGATGGCACAAGTACTTGGGCCCCTGCGCCTGCATGGGAGACCAGGAAGACACTCCTGGCTCCTGGCTTCAGATCAGCACAGCTCCAGCCACTGGGGCCATACAAAGAGTGAACCTGCAGATGGTTCTGTCTCTCCCTCTCTCTGTAACTCTGCCTCTCAAGTAAATAAATAAAATCTTAAAAAAAAAAAACATTCAAACAATGAAGAAATGGATAAAGACAGCAAGAAAGTCTGGACGTCCCTCCACTCCACCCACCACCCCTCCCTCTTGAGAGTTACCATCCTAGTCTGTGCTGTGTTCTGGATAAATTCTTCACCTGTATCCTTTTTTTTAATCCTACTTTCAGCTGTATCTAGTCCTCAGATTAGATCAAGTTGTTCCCCCTCCCCCCCCAGTTTACAAAGTGCTTTTTATGATTTTTTATTTATCTCTCTTAAGGTCTTATTTAAATGTTATTTTTGCATTTCTGTAAGTTCTCTTTTCTCTAACTCGTATGATCCTGAGGATTTCTGGTTGGATTTTGATCCCTATAGTCACCTTCTTTGCTTTTGCTTTTTGTAAGCACACAGCCATTCTGCATTTTGTGTCTGACATTTCCAATGTGCCTGTCCTTGTGGAGGGTGGTGCTGGAGGAACTGTCTACATCTGTGGTTTCTTTTTATTTATTTATTTGAAAGGCAGAGTGATGAGGTGGGGGGGAGAGAAAGAGAGAGAGATTGATCTTGCCTCCGCTGGTTCACTCCCCAAATGGCTGCAACAGTGAAGGCTGGACCAGGCTGAAGCCAGAACCCTGAAACTCCATCAGGGTCTCTCATGTGGGTGGCAGGGACCCAAGCACCTGGGCCATCACCTGCTGCCTCCCACTTGTCCATCAGTGAGAAGCTGGCTGGGGGTGAAGACAGAACTCAAACCCAGGCACTCAGGTGTGGGATCCTGCCCCCCAAGTGGCTGCGTAACCAAAATGCCGTAGCACCTGCACCTGCACCTGTCCTTCCGAACAATTCTCACTCAGAGTGGGTGTGCCTTCATGCCTGCCCAGTGCTTTGTGTGTAAGGCCTTGTTTGACTTTGATCCCACGTGAGTTTTTTTTTTTTAATAACACTGACTTTATGTGTTGTGTGTGTGTGTTTTAAATATTTATTTATTTATTTGAAGGCAGAGGCAGGGTGGGGGGAGGGGAGGTCTTCTATCCACTGGTTCACTCCCCAGATGGCCAAAATGGCTGGAGCTGCGACGATCTGAAGCCAGGAGCCAGGAGCCAGGAGCCAGGAGCTTCTTCTGGGTCTCCCATGTGGGTGCAGGGGCCCAAGGACTTGGGCCATCTTCCATGGCTTTCCCAGGCCATAGCAGAGAGCTGGATTGGAGGTGGAGCAGCCAGGACTCGAACAGGCGCCCACATGGGATGCCGGCACTGCAGGCGGTGGCTTTACCCACTGCGCCACAGCGCCGCCCCCACGTGAGTTCTGTAAGACTATTAACTTCTCCCTTCTGCAGATGTTGCCTCTGTTCACCTGATGGGAGGCACACACCCGTGGTCTTTCCTCTCTGACAATGGAGTTGGACTTCTTGGCTCAGGGCTCTGAAAGAGTGAGAAAGAAGCTCCCAGGTCTGTGAGGGCTGAGCCTGGAGCTGGGACAGCATCACTCGGCTGCATTCTCTCAGCCGGGGCCAGCCCATATGTGAGGACACTTCACAAGCTTTGTGGGAAAACTGGGGGTTGGTGTTGTGGTGTAGCAGGTAGGCCACTGTTTGGGGTGCCCACCTCCCATACCAGGGTGCTGGCTCAAGTCCTGGCTGCTTTCAATCCAGCTTCCTGCTAACGCATCCTGGGAGGCAGCAAATGATGGCCCAAGTGCTTGGGTCCCTGTTGCCCATGTGGGAGACCTGGATGGAGTTCTGGGCTCCTGGCTCCCACCTGGCCCAGCCCTGGCTGTTTCAGGCTTTTGGGGACTGAACCAGTGGATGGAAAATCGCTGTCTCTCTCTCCTGCTGTTGCTCTGCCTTTCAAGTAGATGAAAAAAAAAAAAAATAAGCATTCAGATCTCACATTCCTATGTGCTAATTTTAAAGATAGATTTGGTGGGGTCGGTGCTGTGGCACAGTGGGTAAAAGCTGCCACCTGTAACACTGGCATCCCATACGGGCGCCGGGTCAAGTCCTGGCTGCTCCACTTGCAATCCAGCTCCTTCCTATTGTGTCTAGGAAAGCAGCGGAAGATGACCCAAGTGCTTGGGCCCCTGCCACCCCCTTGGGGACCCAGAAGAAGCTCCTGGCTTTTGGATTTGGCCTGGCTCAGCCCCTGCCTTGCGGCCATTTGGGGAGTGAACCAGTGGATGGAAGATTCTCCCTGTAACTCTGCCTTTCAAATAAATTTTAATATCCATGCATAGTTTTTTCATGATACATTTGATACACTTTCCATGACTTTTTAGATGTATTTTATTTATTTGAAAGTGAGACAGAAGAGACAGAGGGAGAAAGAGATCTTCTATCTGCTGGTTCACTCCCCAAATGACTGCAACGACCAGAGCTGGGCCAGGCGGAAGCCAGGAGCCTGGAGCTCCATCCTGGTCTCCCCCGTGGGTTGGAGGGGCCCAGGTATTTGGGCCATCATCTGTTGTTTCCCAGGCACATCAGCAGGGAGCTGGGTCAGAAGCAGAGCAGCCAGGACTAGAGCCTGCGCTCCAACACGGGATGCCAGCACTGTAGGCAGCAGCTTACCCCGCTGTACTACAACACGGGCCCTTCTGGAACGATTTTGAAGATCCCCACAGAGGCACAGATTTCAAAATGTTTTGCAACAAAGTAACTTTTATTTTTTACTTATTTTATTCATTTAAGAGACAGTGAGAGCGAGATAGACACACCCTGAGAAACAGAGAGAGAGAGCGAGCTCTCATCTGCTGGTTCACTCCCCAGATGCTCACAACAGCTGGCATGGGCCAGGCTGAAGCTGGGAGCTGGGAACCCAGGCCAGGTCTTCCCTGTGGGTGGCAGGGCCCAGTGACTTGAGCTGCCACCCAGGGTGTGCATTAGCAGGAAGCTGGAATTGGAGCCAGGACTCCAAGGCGGTTATTCTGATGTGGGATGCGGTCCAAGCCAGCATCTTCACCGCTGGCGTAATGCCTGCTCCGAAACTTACCTTGAATTCCATTCTCCATGAAGCTTTTGAAGTACTCTTGTGCAAGGGGAGGGGAAATAACTCTGCCCCTGAGGGGAGGGGTGGCAGGTGCACCCGGCCGCTTCCTGGGATCCTCCCTTCCCCGCCAGGCTGGGGACCCTGTGTGTCTCTCCTGCTTCTTCCCGGTTTCCTGGAGCACGCAGCACCCCTTGCTTTGTTTATCCCCTTGTTTTGCTAAAGAACATCTTCCAGAAGCTCCTGGTGCCCAGAAGGTATAACTTCTGGGGTTTCCCAGGCCTTGTTTACTCACACCTCTGAGTGACAGTCTGGGAGGCAAACGTCTAGGTTGGAAATTATCTTTTCTCAGAACTTTTAAGGCCTTTCTCCATTGTATTTTAGCTTCCAGTATTTCTCTTAAGAATTCTCACTCTGGGGGCTGGTGCTGTGGCACAGCG